TAATAAAACTTACAAGCATGAATAAACTTACCTGAGATAATGCCAAAGTATTGAGAGATATTTCATGTAGAGTTAAGCTAAAAACCAAGTGTTTCGTGGAAAAGTTCTTGTTTCTAATGAAGTCTTTTTCTTTCAGCTTCTCATACCTCACACTCGCTACACTCTGCAAATCAACTTTTTGGCTCGAAAGAGACTCATATCTGAGGATGGAAGTTTCACCCTGGTATGGGGAAAATGCATTGCCCAACTTTGTTTCCAATTTTAGTTTTTAACAAACTTCCTTTTTCAGTTTACATCATCTGGTGGAGAGGGTATGGTTACAATCCTGAGGAGGTCTCTGTCCTCCCTGACGTACAGCTCACTCTGCATGCCTGAGGACATCACTGAGCGTGGGCTGGAGGCTGTGCCCAACTTCTTCTACAGAGATGATGGACTCAAACTTTGGGATATTATCCACAGGTATGACTTTCTCTTTCTGACCAAACTGCTTTGCAACAGTTTTACTAATGAGTCCTAAAGCTGGCCTGCCTTTTGAGGTAAATTATTCAAACTCAAATCTGCAAAAAACAGTTTAGATTCTCAGTTACATGTCTGTTTTTTTTCTTCAGATCCAAAGTCTTCATTTCACCAGAGCCTGTGTGGCTCTGGAAGTCTAAGCAAAATGGCCCAGAGCTTGTGTCATTAGACCATTTCATAAATGGCCTGGTCAAACCCTTAGGGAGTGGTTCCTCTTGCATCAGCATTGAAATTAAAATATAAACAAATATACTTGCACTGCTGGAGTGAGACACATTAAGTAGAGACTTTAATTTCTTTAATGTAAACTGACTGCTTTCAATCACAAAAACTAAAACTCAATCACAATATCCTTCAGTCTTTACAGCTGCTTTTTGTCTGAATTGTCCAGCATTAAAACGTCACACTTTCATTGGTTGAAAGGGTGTCTGGTGAGTGAATGTAAACACTGAAGTCATGGATTTTTTTTCTTAACTTCATAGGACATTTCAATCTACTATTATTTAAGTCTTCTTGCATATTTAACAAAGAACGGCCATATAAGTACTATGTTTTGACTTGTGGATATCTAATACTGTCATGTGTCTTCCAGATGAAAAGTGGCTTATTCTAAATAAATTAAGCTGATCTTAATTACTATCTGTAACTTCAATGATCAGGTCTTCAGTGTATTTTACAGAATGTTCTGTTTCTCAAAGGTTCGTGAAAGGAGTCCTTGCCTATTATTACAAGACTAATGACGACGTCCAGAGAGACTCTGAACTACAAAAATGGCTTTTGGACATTTTTGAACATGGATTTCTTTCCCACGCTGACACAGGTGTCTTTAAAGAATTGTCAAATCAGTGCTTTTGTGAAATGAAGGCATTAAATTAGTAACTTAAAAAGTTATAAATTTTTTTGGGGCAGTAAATCATATTTGTTTTGTACTTAGGAATTCCACAGAAATTCACTACAACAGATGAGCTGATCAAATTTGTTACAATGGTGATCTTCACTAGCTCAGTCCAGCATGCAGCTGTCAATTCTGGACAGGTGAACTTTTCTAATTTTTCTCTAGATGTATATCTTTTTTTTGTTTCGACTCCTCAAATTGATATTTCATTTCAAAGTCCAGCACAATACATGAAACCTTCATGACATCATTGAAACAATCTCAATTTAAAGTTGAATTGCTGTTTGTTTTCCTCCCTGCAGTATGACTTTGGTGGCTGGATGCCAAACACTCCCCTCACCCTGCAGCTCCCTCCACCAACCAAAAAGGGAGGAGCAACTGAGGCCACGATGCTGAACACACTCCCAGATGTCAATGCAACAGTTCAAGGCATGGCCACCCTGTGGCTGCTCAGCCAGCAGTCCATCGACTTTGTAAGTGTGTGTGTTTGTTGGGGGAGGGGGGGTACTTGTCTAACACTGATTGCAAAATAAAACCTACTTTTGGAGCTGTTACAATCTGAAACTTCTGCAGTTTAATCGCAATAGGCTTACTTCAGATTTAAAGTGGTGCTGTTTATCTTCAGGTCCCTCTTGGCCACTACCCTGAGGACCATTTCACTGAGGAGACTCCACAAAGGATCATAAAGGACTTTCAAAGAGAGCTTGACGTGTTAAGTGGAGCCATTAAAGAAAGAAACAAGCATCTAGCATTGCCGTACACGTACTTGGATCCAGTGGAGGTGGAAAACAGCGTGGCCATTTGAAGAATGGAGTTTACAGCCTGCGTTAAGCTACTGTGATGGATTTAATGTCATGTTTTTAGATGGAACATGTGAGAAAATATGCTTTATATTTTTTTCAACAATTTGACACACTTTGTCTAACTACTAAATAAAATAACTGATCAACTTCTCTCTTTTCTTTTAATGAAGTTGTTCACTAATTTAAGTGTGCTAAAACTACAATTGCC